TAAATAAAAAAAATGCTTCGGCAATGTATAATATCCTGTTGTACTTTGAGTATTTGGTGTAGGTTTACGATAACAACCAAGTATAGCGTTTTCACTGCAGATTAAAATATACTTAAGCTCATTTCAATCTATTCATGCACGTATGTAACATAGAGGAGGCAATGGGACTACAGAAAGCACAATGTAAAACTACATTATGTTACTTGGCCAAGATATATGGCACAAAATCTACCCCACCTCCTCTCTCCCTCTTTATCTCCAACTCTCCCTCCCTCTCTCTCTCTCTTTCCTACCCTGTCTCTTTTTCTGTTTCTTCATTGTCATCAAATGGGTACCCATGGGAGGGAAGACCACCTGGTAACCATGGTTACAGGGATTGAGTGCCCCTTGCGAGTACACACTCACACATTCTCTTACATACACATTTGAGCAAATAGATCTTGTACTTGGTAAGGATATAAAGAGTTCCTGAATGTACAACCAAGTGTGTGGTGTAAGACAAACCAGTCTATTGTCCTATGAGCCATTAGTGTTTTAAAGGAAAAGGTCTGGTGCTTTCCAGACTGGCATTAGTGGTTGTAATGTGACTCATGGATACCTGGAGGTTATAGCATCCCCACCTCTGCATCCACCACCACATCACAGTTTATAACAGAGCAATTATGGTGACACAGTGATTCATTTGTTACAGAGAAGAGAAGAGAAGAGAAGAGAAGAGAAGAGAAGAGAAGAGAAGAGAAGAGAAGAGAAGAGAAGAGAAGAGAAGAGAGGAGAAGAGAGGAGAAGAGAAGAGAAGAGAAGAGAAGCTGTGATTACATTTACATTATTGACGTTATAGGACCTGGATATGTCTGGGGAGACAGAGAGATCGGAGAAAGGGCAGTTGCAGAAGGGATTGCGCTGGTTTGAGGAGAGAAAATCAATCAGTTTAATCTGGGTGATTTCCAGAGAAAAGTAGGGAGAGAAATGACTAAATGAAGAAAGAAGAGTGAAAAAGAGAGGAAAAAATAACTTTGTAATAAACTGTGTTTTAATGTTGTTGTGACAGGCATCTGTGTGATTGTTATTTCATTGTGGTAAAAAAAAAGATACCTAATAATATGCTTCTCATAAAGTGTTGTGACTAAAATATTCCACTTTTATTTTTTCAAGTAGCTAACCTTCAGTATAACACTGATTTCAAAACAACAAGTGACTACAGTGTAAGATAAGCTTTTATGGTTGGATTTCACTGTCTCCTTACAAAAAAAAAAAAAAAAAAAACTTTATAAAAATGGCACAAATAATGCTAACTTAAGCTCCCTGCTTTTAACTGCTCATATGTTAGGATGCTTGGCTTTCCTCTTTGTTTTTGATCTGTGAACAATGTTTGCCAAGTGATTCTCCCTCTCTGGGCTGAGATTTCCTTGATGTGGAAAATGGATTTAAATCAAATAATAATAGGCTGTGTACTGTCTCGGCATGACTAAATTAACTTCTTACTGTTAACTGGCCTACATAAATAAAACACAGGCTCGGCATTGAAGCATTAAAGGTTTGACTTCAGCGCCTGGCACCGCATCGCCTCCTCTCATCCTACACTTCTCTTGTCTCTCTCCAGTATTCAATAAAGCCCAAATGTCATGAGAATTAATTACAAGACAGGAAGAATATTCTCTTCATTTTATTCATCCCTGTTCATATCTGCAGCCCAGGGATAGAAAGAGAGAGAAAGAACTTAAGCTCAATCATGTGTGTGTTAAAGAATACAGTGGGTCGATATTAAGAAAGACATTACAAGTCAAGAAGGAGCACACTACTGGATCCGCTTCAGTCAGTCAGACGGAGGACTAGGCCATCCATAAAACATACTGGATTACACAGAAAGACATCGCAGACACAGATGCTCCGCCTGCAATCACACAAACATACTTATATCTTACACATAACGCACACGGCCGACACGCACACACAAACAAAAAGCCATAAACATTAATTTGAGCGTGCACATCCACACACCCACAAACACTTTCTTTCTCACGCAAACAGAGTTTTGCTTCTTTGCTTTTTCTTTCCTGTAAAATAATAAGCTCCACATTTCAGCAAAGTGGTTTGTAGGCAGAATTTTAAAGAGACAGAGTCCCAGAGCGTGGATGGGCAGATTTGTGGAAGTTCTATCAAGAAACCAGACTGTATTTATTCAATTGATGGTGTCTTATTTATACATTAAGTCAAAACAACTGATTTAATGCACAGTACAGGCATAAAAAGTAGAAATAATTCAAAAAACAAATGACTTGCTGTACTCTATCTCTGTGATTTGTGTAGTCTGGCTGATACTGCATCACTCTTTCAGCTTCAGTGCATGTGAGGCTTGTTTATATGCATAGAGATGCCGACGAGCAGGGAGACATGCAGAAAAAACCCTTTTGTCACTCTTTATTGTGATTCTTTCTGCAGGAATTCATTGTGGCTTGAGAGGCACGATCCCAAAGTGCCGCCACCAGCTTGCTAAATCATAACCGGCAATTTTCTCTGTAAATAGCCAATGTACCAGTTTCAGGCCCAGCGGGAGGCAAGAGTTTCCACAGATCTGACACTTCAAGGTTAGTGGAAAGGGTATGACAAATGCACCAACAAATACCTTACTTTTATAAGTATAAGAAAAAACAAACATTTAAACATAAATATGCCATGGAGAGGTGTTGTAAATGCCATGTCTTGTAAAATGAACACAGCCCTCCATACTATGGCATCATTGTTTGCATATTTTAAAAGTAATCCTGATGTGCACATGAAAGTTTGTTTTCTAAATCTCAAAAATTAAGTATGTGCATAAACCAAATGTTTATTTTTATCACCTGTCATTTGCATTGCAATTTTGTGATTTATAATTCTCTAAATGAGAAAGATAGTATCCTCCTAACAAGACACTGGAATTTAAGAATAGCACAGTAAATCACATAGCTCTGTGTAATAAAGATACGCATAACTCCAGGCGTTCCATATATATATATATATATATATATATATATATATATATCACCTTCACAAGAATTGGACGGACTCAAAAACGTAATGCCTCTGGCCATCCTGAATCTGAACTGAAACCCAAAACTTAGTCTGGATATGTTGGGTTCAGGACAGGGAGCAAACATTTACACACCACATGCTGACTGAGTTGGAGTGATGGACTGATTACTTCACATGGTGATGATCTACTTTAGCTGTAAATGAGAAATGAGGATAAGTCAAGTTAATGGCAACATAAATAAGTTATGAAGTTCTAAAACTATTATTTAGCTTTTTTCTCAAATCATGTTGTTTCCTTTCGGCTCACAGGCAAATGCCTGATGGCCCAGTACTGGTCCAGAGAAACCACTGACCAACGGTACAGTATCATAAAGGACTAACAAGCTACAGTATAGTTGTGTTTTACAGTACGTGACTGTAGGTATACACACTCATGAGCAATGACGAGGACAGTGCATCAGTAATCCCTGACAATGACGTTTGACCCTGTTACATCCTGCCCTCGAGGGCAGAGATCCCCTCACTCGATGACATCACCAGCGTGTTGCAATCACGAGGGTGATGTTCATGGGTAACCCGGCGCTGATGTGGAAGAATGAGCCTTCATTTAGTAAATTATGACAATCAATCCTGTGAGGCAAGAACACTTCTACTTTAGCACATTTTCCATCTTTCAGAAACTAAAAACCAACAAACACGTTGGTGATGTTGGTCGGTATGACATTTATGACGTTATTGATTTGACTTGTAAATAATTAGCTCGGGTCATCACCAGTACGACCATAGAAACTCCAGTCACAATTCACTCGGGTGTCATGGAAAGTTCTGTCACCACGAAGGTGGCCGAGGTCTTCTCGCATGTTGACCAGTTAATCAACATATGTGTTTTTCCAGCTAAAGATAGACACGGACAGTAAAGCTTTCCATAGCGTGTGGAGGAGGGAGGAGGTGCAGCATGTGAGAGGCTTTGAGGACTGTTTGTCCTTCAGGCCTGTGGTTGGAGACGCTGATATGCAACAAAGTACTGGATCTATTTGGTTTTAACTTGTGGAAACACGTCAGCTTGAATGAAGGTCACTGCAGTGACATGCAGCTTATTGTTAAAGCCATTTTGCTGATCTACATTTCCTCTTCCCGAAACCCACAGAATTTTACCTTAACAATACATTTAACAATGCAAGGACTACACAATGCTCCAAAACAGACACCTCCGATTGGAAAGGCAATATAATTTAAAGAGTTAAAGAGTTTGTTTTTTTTTTGCTGAATCCTCTCTTTACCCAATAGTAAAGGAAATCTATCACAAACATGTTTTCAACCTGTGGGAAACACTGGACCCCAAAATGTTTTTCAGGTCAAGAATGAAAAATTTTACATTTGGTCAATAACCTCAACATAAAGCGATGTTTTCTCATCAACAATTTAAATCATAGCAAATTTTAACTACATTCACTCTGCGGGATAGCCTCAAGGCTCCTAGGGGTCCCCAGATCTCCCTGTGATACACATGTTTTATGTATAAGCAGAGGCACAATGAATAAGTCAAGAGATAAATGAATAATTGCAGTTTATTTTTCCGTTTCTCTTTTTGGGTGACCTGGTTGTTGGGGCATCCTTTATCTTGGCCGAGGAGGAAAATAAACTGCTGAGACCAGCAGAAAGAGAAATGGAAAAAGTGAGAGAGGGAGAGAGAGAGGGAGGACAGTTGAATCCATCTCTCAGTACTATCCCTCCCTGTGGGCATTTCCCTGCTGGCACAAGATATGTGGAGGTGCACACACACACACACACACACACACACACACACACACACACACACACACACACACACATACAGACACACACACACACACACACACTGTCTATTTGCAAAAGACATGCTTGCAAGTGTGCATCATCTCATATGTGTATATGTAAGGGTGTATGTTTGCTAATGTTTGTTCCTATTTTTGTGTGCTTGTTTGTGTGTGTGTGCATGTGTGACTCACCGTTCTCCTCGCCAGATGCTTCACAGCCATCTTCATCATCACAGTCATTTCCACTGCCTCTGTCCGTCTGTGCGCTCCCTCCCTCCTCTTCCTCCACCCTTCCCCTGGCTTTGCTCGCCCAGCCGAGCTCCACTAACAGCTCCTAAATAAAACACACACATACAAATGTATATACATATTACACATACCTACACTTCTAAAAAAACAAAACCAAACAGAAATGTTTATGTTTTGTATAACACTGAGGAATTCATCTGAAAGCAAGTGAGCGCCAGAGGAGGACAGATCAAAAACATTACAAACAGCTGATTGTAAGGTGGACAAAGGTCAGAGATTGACAGTGTGCTGTGACTTTAAACTAAAACTTTAAAAGAACTAGTGACATTTTTGTAACTAAACTTATTTGCTTTCTTGCCAAGAGTTAGATGAGACTGGAAACAGGGTGAAACAGCTACCCTGGTTCTGTCCAAAGGTGAAAAAAAAACCACCCACCTAGGGGGAGGGGGTCGAAGATGGTTTTACTGGGAGTTATGTGCAGGGCTATTTCTTGACCCAGAGCAGTGACTTCCAAGAGACACAACCACAGGGAGCAATGTCATCACATGCATTTAGAGCACACACACACACAGACACAGGGGAGAAAGAGTGAACTGCTAGCTGCCGTGCAAATTGGTAAAATCGATCCATCCTGTCTCTTCCCCAGGTTGGCGCTTCTGTAAGTGTCGAAGCCTCCATGTGAGACACTTTGATCAGTGTTTGTATGTTTTTGAAACTTATTTTGGGGCTGCAGTTCACTCTGCCCAAGTGCAGTGTAGCCATGTTGTTCCAGCACCGTGCTGAGCAGTTGGCAGGTTTGTGTACAGTGTTTGTGCTCTAAAGACGTCAACAGCAGAGAAAAGGGGCTAGAATTAACGAGTTCACCTGGGTGTTTTGTTTACATTGCTGCCGATTGGAGCCAGAGCTGATAAATACCCACTACTACTGCAGAGTTACTTGCCCCAGGAGTGAATGCCAATTGTACCCTTTTCCTTTGCCGACAAAAGCCCAATGTTAGCAGGTCCTAGCAAGATTTTTGACCTGAAAAGGGGCTTATGAGAGCAGTATACAGATCTTCTCATCTAACTCTCAGCAAGAAAGCAAATAAGTTTATTTCCTAAAATGTCAAACTATTCCTTTACTGATCATGACAATACTAGAGCAATCATAACAGAGAAATGCTAAAACACATAAGGGATGTTTTTCAGTAATATTTTTCCCTCTTCAGGCACCAAGTGGCCACGGATAACATGGCTGCACCAACAGAGAAACATACACACACAAACACACACACACACAGGTCACAGGGCAGACTCAAGGGTAATTGAGGTCATACAGCCTCTGCGTGAACCCATACGCTTTACTGCTCAGTTAAGTCACAGCTTGGATGCTTTGGCATGTTACATAATTGTCATGTCGGATGAAAACCTGATATCTCATAGAGCTAAACTATTCAGGGATTGAAAAAAACGTTTAAGTCAAATATTGGGTATTAACTGGGTTTGTTAAACTGAAAAGAAAAAGGACAAGATAAACTTTTTGTCCAAGTTTGAAAAAAAAAACACCAAAATTGTGGACTTATTAGGTTTTCACATATACACAACGACAGCAACATATAATTGGTTCACAGCATGATGAATGTGTATTGTAGAGAGTTAAGTTGGGTAATATATAAATTCCAGCTGAGAGAGATAAGGCAAACAGCCACCAGTTTTATAAAGGAAAAAGATGTATTGTACTGACATTTTATGTAATTTTATTTTGCCCTAAGATAACACTTCTATATATACACAGAGAGGGAGATGCCACAAAGATTGTAATTGATTGTATTAATGATTTATGTTGCCTTAGAAACAGAAATCTGTCCAGCAAATTAAATCTTACAAAGGCCAAACTGAAAGTCAACTGTCTGGGATTTTATATTTACAACCTTTTTTTTTTTTAAAGAATAGTATATAAAGTATATGTGTTAAACAAGCAGAGTCATTTACAGATAATTCAGCTGAAGATTATTTGCTAATTTATGCACATGTTAGCCAAACCTAAACAACTGTTGTTTTGTTACTTCACTGTTGAGAAATTTGAGAAAAAAAACAGAACATGAACCTACATTTCACTGACTGCTGTTTTATCTGTCTTAAAATACCAACCGGGGATACACTCCACTTATTTTTTTATGGAGTAATTCCCGGCTAGATGGATGCTGGGGTGATGCATAAGGAGGGACATCTGGCCTACACCGTACAGTAGGTGTGGGGCAGCCATGAAAACAAGGGGAACCAAGGTTATTATGTGACAGCATGTCCGAGGGGACATGGAGAGAGACTAGACTCTGTGTGGTGATTCACCATCATGTCATCGTACTGCAAATGAGGACTGAGGGAGGACAAAAATACATTACAGCAGTGTTTCCACCAAGGCTGTGTTTTCTTAACCATGTGGAGAGGCTAGAATTTAAACAGAACTTGGACCATGTGGTATTGAAACTCTCCAGTGAAACCAATAGGCCTACATGAATAGGCCTAAATGAAATTATTCAAGGGTGGCCGCTCCAGACTGGCCTGTCCTAACTAATTAATGGCAGGAGAAAAACTTCCAGTTTATAGCTAAGGTGGGAACTTAAGGTCTTATCTTATTTTTTTGTTTGCATATTACAGCAATACGAAAACCCGTGCAGCTGAGAACTTAAACACCTCTTCTTGAAACTCTATACAAGACAGGCAGGACAATCGATTCAAAACATTGAGCGAGGGAATGGCAATTATACCAATGACACATAACATAACAATGTTTTATAGTGAGCTAAACTCATCAGATAGAGAATGGTGTCTTCACATCTACAGTAACTCTCCACAAGAAAGCAAGTATTTCCAAAAATGCCAGACTGCTCCTTTAGCACTGCCTAAATTAATTACAAGTTTGTAATGAAACACAAACTGTGGTCTTCATGATGAAATTCAGACGTGCCAAACCCCTGACTTCCTGTAATGGCACACAGTCTTGTCACTGGATGTAAATTACGTGCTGCATAGTCAGTCCATACAAACTTCATTCCTGTGGATGCAGAGCGAGACTAAGAGAGAGTTTTGCACAGGCTTCTAACGAAGCCATCCTCGTGGATAAGAACTGCTGAGACCATGACCCTTTCTATACAGGGGCAACCCTCACAGGGTTGATGAGGCTCTTCCTGATTGGCTCAGCATGTACATACAAATTTTAATTGCGAGGATAAGCGAGTCGTTACACTAATAGAATCCCATTAGAGGGCAAAGCCTGTGTGAAACACAACCCACTGCTGCACAGGTCTAATTAACATGTAATACAAATTGGGACAGTGAAATATAAGAAGAGACAGAGGGAAAGACAGAGAGAAAAACAGACCTCCGAAACTAAATAATTAAAATTCCAAGGATGCTCCTTTGTCCTGTTACATATCTTCTTCCTCCTCTCATCCTGCAGTGCGAGTGTGTAAATGGCAGACATGACAGTCATGAATAATAATTAATAAATGGCGAGCATTAATGTCTATACTGCAGATGAACAGCTTCCCCCACAGAGAAAGCACTGGTTCAGCTAGCATGAAAGCAGCACAGCCCAGGCTTCGGATTTCCAAAGGTGAATTGAAACTTGTTCAAAAGGACCCAGGGTTTGTTTGGGTGCAGACTTGCATTCTCTGAATTTGTTAAATAGATGGAAAGCACAACCCTTTGGAACTGAAAATAGTTTGCAATGCAGATGAGTTGTGTTGTATCTGACTTTCCTATCTGGTTCATGTTGTGGTCTGTTAGCTTTACCATCATCGGTCCAGTGGGTGTGTATTACAAGTCCGAAGACATTGATATAACCTTCCCTATCCTCATAGAGTTTGAACGTGTGTTGGTGTGCATGTGACCGTGTTAGAAGATTCAATGTTTTTTTCAAATCCTAGGCTAACAAGATATGTACAGGTTACACTGATTAAATGGGCCTGAGAAAGCAGATCTCATGCAGCACATAAATGATTACATGGTGCATGTGGGATGTGTGTTTGTGTATATCGCAGTGGGGGATGCTGACTTGGCATTTCCTCCATGTAAATATAACATGATTAATGGGCTCACCACCAAAATTAGACGAAGCACAGAAAGAGCTTCAACAGCAAAAAGAGAAAAAACCTTAACATGCTCCGTCCAACGATTTCCCATGAATATTGCATTACCATCAACGACACTTGCGTTAACAAAATTGATCAGGTTTTCTTGACAGACACTTAGTGCATCAACGCTGACAGAACGTGTTGCCACATCAGAATATTTCATTTGTGTCCCTTATTCAAGTTTAACTGATTTCTACTGTGAAACTTGATCTCTGTCTTTAACAGTTTAATGGTTTTGGTTAAAAGAAATGTTACTTTAAAAATATATGTCTGGTGAGATTCTGTTCTATTTATTATAAGAAATCCCATGAAAAGATCAGAACAAACAATGAATTTATCTTACTGTCTGTGTTTGCAAAGCCTAATATTTCTCTGTGCCACAGTTCTCTGTTGTTGTCCAAACACTTCTAAAAACAAATAAATGAGCCACACCGTTGAGCTAGGTGACACATTGCTTCATTATGCTGAACATGAGCTCTGTAGTTTATTTTGAATCGATTCCACACACAGTGTCCTGCTGCCATAAATTCTTGCTAGCACACCAAATCTACTGCTGAAAACAGTTCACAGCAAATGCACTGTTTACTCCTGTTTGAGTAACGTTTTCCAAAAAATTGACAGTGCCCAGCTGTTTCAGGAAATGATACCGCCTTTTTTAAAAGTGAAAGTGCTGTATATATTCATGACCTACAAGGGCCACAGACAGGCTGGATAAGTTGTAAAATATTGAGAAATGGACAAATGCATTGTTGGCTTTGGCCTTTCCATGGAATTTGTGAATCATAACAAAAATAAAGAACATTATCAGCTAGGGCTGCACGATATGCAAAACAAATCATATTGCGATTATTTTGGCAGCTATTGCGACTGCAATGTCAGTTGGAATGGTCGTTTTGCATTTCATTTTCACTGAAATAAAATTGCAGCTCCTGCAATTTGGATATTGCACTTGGCCATATTGCCATTTCGATTATATTTTGATTAATTGTGCAGCCCCATTATCAGCCTTTTCCTTTAATGGCCAAGATACCAACATGTTTCTCTGTTGATTTTTGTTTGTATGTATTTACCTTCCTGTTTGTCTGTCTAGCAACCTGTCTGACTCTCTCTGAAGTGTCCTGAACACAAGCCACATGGTCTTTAGCACAAACAATGAATCATCATTATGAATAACCTTGATGTATCATTTTTATGTATTATATTCATATGGTTTTATGAATCACCCATGCAAATTTTACCACCATATTAGCAAGCTGTCCCGAGCTTTGAAAGTGCTGCATAAATCGAGTTTAATTGGTGAATTAATTAATTTATCACTGCCTGTTATTATCTACATCTGTTTAGAGTGGTGACATTTAAATTTATTGGATTAAGCAGCACTTCACATAAGAGGTGATAACGGATGATTGAGAGCCAGATGAAGATGAGGACACACACAAACACACACACACACACACACACACAGAAACCCAGACACCTGCAGTTAGCTTTAGCATCTTTGTATCATGCCTACATCACACTTTAGAGAAGCACCAATGGGACAAAGTGTTAATGAAGGTGAAATTCTGAACAGATTGAGGCATTAGAAGAAAGGTCACGAGATCACCAAAATAATAAAAAATCATCAACTGAGGACCATGAATGTCTGTATCTAATTTAAACATTAAAACAATCAAGATGACTTGCGCTGGATCAAAGTGTTGATGAACGATGGGATGACCAATCGGTATTGTTATCTGCAGGCCCTGCCTTGAGCATAGCAAAAAACTAAATATTACATCTGTGAACGTAAACGAGGGAATGGATTATCTCACTGATTGACTGGTTGATGCATGAAATCATAAGGTTTTGGTGGGAAAAAAAACAGTGAGAAAGGCATTAAATAGTGTGCAAACATTTAAGTGTCTTTACCTGTGTTATCTGCTCCAGTTTCTGTTTCGCCCCCTTCAGGACAGGATCTGTATTACGGACGGTCATCTCTGGGTTCTCCCTCTGGGCTTTTAAAGTGCTGCCAACCACACGACCTGCATAACTACAGAAAGGGAGAACAAAAGAGAGACTTAGTACTTTCTGCCCCAGTTTTGTGTGTGTATGTGTGTGTGTGTGTGTGTGTGTGTGTTGCCCCAGTTTTCTCTCAGTCACCATGCTAGTGTGTTCATACTGTCTTCAGACTGGGTTTCATGATTTTATGACTGTGTTTGTGTGTGTGTGTGTGTGTGTGTGTTTGGGTCCACTATTGGATAGGTTTGCAAGTACGTACACACACACACACACAGCCACAGAGTTAAATTTGTTTATTTCTGGCATGAGAGAAGAGGAGTCATTTGAGACATTTAACGATGGTGACATGAGCTCATCTTCTGGCAGACTTATCATAATCTTAATCATCTTGTTAAAGTCACATAGATTTTTATTAAGGACTGATTTACTGTTGATAGTCACTGTTACTGGTGGTTTTCAGCAAGGCTGCAAAATGAATCAATTGTTACTTGTCCTGTAATTACTTGAATATAAAGAGTTCATACGAAACGATTAACTGGGCGGAGAAGCCTGACAGTGGAAACTTAAAGTCATCACTGAGTGTGATTCTTGATCATCTCACTTACTGATGTTTCTTTCTGTCGTGGGCTTGAAGTATCACATCATTTTGTGTGTGTGGGGGGTTGGAGTGGGTGGATCAAAAAAGAAGATGAAGTGAGAGAAAAGCAAAAGAGAAGAAACAACAGTTCATGAGTCATATTTTTCCAGAGTTTCCAAGTTCCAAACCAGCTTTACTAACTAATACAATCAGCCACCAGCTCACTAACCACTGAGTCCACACCCTCGAAAACACAAACACACTCTGGCTATGGCAACAAGGGAATGGGATTGTGGGAACCAGGGAGCAGAGACATGGTGGGTAAATCTAATAATGACTTGACCAATCTGCAGAGACAGTGAGGTGGAGAAAACCCCAGCCTCTGGAGCCATGCTTACTCTGCTGGTCTGAAATCAGATCCTATCAGAAACTTCTACATGATGCATAAAGTCTCAAATTAAGTTGAACAAATCTATGTTTTATTCTCATACACACTGTGTTTTCATGCATAAATTTTTCCCAATAAAAGGTCTTATTGATGTCAAAGTGTTCATGCTCAAGTTCACCTTCTTTCATGTGTTTTGGCTTCATTAAATTTGACATTGCGATCCATGATAACTGCTCTGAGAGAAGTGCTTATGAACCGTCTCCGTGAGATACATTTTCCAGTCCAGCTTTGAGCAAGTTCATTTTAAATATGCAGCCAATCACATACAACATCAACAGATCAAGAGCTGCATGTTTAATTTAAGAGAGGATGAGACTACAGATCCTCATGGGGAAAATCAGGTCACTAGAGAAGCAAAAAATAGTATGAAGCAGTGGTGAAAAGGATACAGAATATGACTATAATCCAAATAATGAATAGAAACAGAACTAAATAAAAAAAAAACATTATATTGCTGACGCATTCAACATATCCAGTAGCCTTAAGTGGGTAGTTTTGCTCTTATATTTCATGATGAGATGCATTATTGCGGTAATGGTTATTTCTGCTGCCAATGCACTGGAGAAAAACTGCCTTGTAAATGCAAAACATCATGACTACAGGAAAGGAACAGATGATCAGGGTCTGTGGGACTGTACCACTGTGTACATGAATCAGCTATTTTGATTAGCATTGCATATTCATTAACTGATAGTCCCAATGCAATGCTAGACCAGTGTACCATACGTGATCAGGTTGTACTGTGTTACATATCATATATTACTGTGTTTACATACAAACAGCCTAAGTGACCAATCGCAGTTCTCATGAAGGCACATGTCATCTACAGTGCGGCCATGGTGGCTACAGACAAGGTCCGAAGTTACACTATAGACTCTCTGTAATGGAAATATACATGTACCTTAAGGCTTCTCAAGATTTTCTATTCAGCCCATGTTCTGAAGTGCTTGACAAGCCTTTGAACAGGCTACACTGAACCAACCACTCATGGAAATACTGTGATAGAATATCATATCTGGATTTTATCAAAATTCTTATGTTCTATTTTTGTTCCAGAAACAAACACTTTGTGTAAGCTGAATCGTTGAGTTGATTTGTTAGTGGGTGCACTGTTTACATTTTTTTTTTCAAATTCTTTGATCCCAACATGCTCCAGAGAAAGTTAGGCACGCTGCACAAAACAAAGTGAGAGACCCTTATAAATCCAGAGAGCCTGGGTTAAGCCTAACGTTAGCTGTCTAACACACTAATCTTACTTTATGAGACAGACCATATCTCATGGATCTTTTCTGTATTGCCACATAAACAAAAACAAAAGGCACATAAACAAAAGGCAACATTTCAAACACTATCACCATGGAAACTGCTCATATTGATTACAAAGATGCACCGGTGACCAGCAAAAGATCATAAAGTGCATCCCTGTGTATACAAATAATTTAATACTGCTTTTATTCTATGTCTGGAGTTGGAGAATATGGCTAACAAAAAAGGATAAGAGTATTGGGCGTAATAACAGGATACTGGTGCATATGTAAATGCATTAACACACATGCTAAAGGCTCAGCAGACCCCCCTGAACTGATTTATAAAATTCAAGGCAATAGAAAGAGGAAAATATGAGAGTGAGAAAGAAGAGGGAGAGAAGGACAGGAAAGGGGGAGGTGTAGGATGGGGAAAAAGAAATAAAAGCTCAATTAAAAACCACAGACTGTGTCCCCTGGGGGAATCCCAAGATTCCTCAGACTCCAGCAAAGATTTTAGGGATCAGTGTCAACACCACACATCTTATGAATTTGCTACAGACGCAAGATTGTCAGCACCTAACAAATGTTCTGGCAAATATGATGTTTTCTTTTATCGTTGTGAAAGCTGGGAATTTGCTCTTCTTCATTACAAACCATGCAGCCAAGAGTGACAGGCAATTGATTTGACTTTTATTCATACAAGATTGGCTGAGCATACTTGCTCTTTTATTGCCCACACCCTGTCTACAGTCAGACACAAACAAAACAAAATAATTAACAGAATTAGTCAAATCATTACCTGAATGGATGAGGCAATTATTAGCAATGGCTTTGAACTTTCAAATGAATATGAAATTTTGGGATTTTTAAGTGGTTTTGCACATTATTTCAAGACCAGCAAACAAACACTAAAGCAGTGTTTTCTTCCAGAGCATTAAAAGATATATGCAAGGTGGCAATTTTCCAGCAATACATTTATAATTAAATTATTACAGTTATTATGTTTCTCAGTAAAAGACAACCAAATAACTTAATCATGAAAAATGCAGTGGTGATAATTGTAATTATCTCCAGTAATGAATCCAAAAGCTTAATGGTAAATGGTATCTAGGGGCCTAAAGGTGAAGGCAGGAGCATGTCTACAAATTACATCTCTATAATCAGGAGCTATTGTAAGAGGCAAACAACTTCAACAGTACTTTTCCTTCATCTCAGAGATTTCTGCAAGCCAGGCTATTGTTGCAGCTTACAAAGAAATTTTTCTATATTCAAATGTAAGTTTCTCAGCGAGACAGATATCAAGAGTTTTATATTCTGTTGCCTTCTCTATATGAAAACCAGCAGTGGAGAAATTACTGTAGGCTAATATATCTGGATCTTGAGAACATGTTTGTTGTATTTGCATTAAAAGAGATAGTTTTGATATAGCAACATAGCCAATGTTAGCACCAACAGCTGTTTACTTACCAGCCTTGCCAAGAGCTTCAGTCATAGTTGTGTTTACAATAGGTTATAATACGCTCTCTGAGCTTCTTCAGCACACACTGGATGCAAGAGTGACTCGGTAAGAAAAAGTGGGCTTGCTGGGGTAAGCTGCTTAGCATGCTAACTTCAGCAGAAGAAAAGAAAGCAAAATAAAAGTAAACAAGAGTTAACATTGATGTTGCTTTCCACTGCTGGAGAAGTAACCCTTGCTTTTGCCAAGTAAAAGAATGAAGTTTGATAATGAATTTGCATCATTTCTTCTAGACTGGTGTGTAAACAGCTGTTAATGCTAATGTTGGCTATGTAGCAATAGCAAAATTTACAAATAGCTAGTGTAAGTGTTTTTATCAGTAAAAATAGTAGTGTTTGCATTTGACAGTTACGCACTGAAAGCTTGAATGGTGAAAAGGTTAGGGCTTAAAATGAATTCCTGTGAAAAATAACACCCGTCTACACAATCTCACACTGATGTCTAATAAAATAGCTCTAAGCCAGCCAAAATATGCGTTACTCTAAAAATAAAGAATCAAATGTACAAAAAGCTTTGGAGAAATCTGTGACTATACAGGCACAATGTTTTTATTGTCTAAACCAGTTATTAAATAATATAAACTAAGATGCCCTAACCCTTACTGCCGAGATGGGGCTATGATTGGCTGTGAAAACAAGACTGACATGGGGTCTCAGAGAGGGCTGCCTTCAGCTGTTATTGATCAGCATTTCGAGGATAAGTGACAGGTTGGACAAGACTTGAGGTCACGGCAATCTTCACTGCAAGTGCAGAGGGACCATATCAGCCAATTTCCATGACTATGACTATGCAAGATGTAATGGCAGATCAATTATTTATGTACTAAGCTCTATAATGATTGTTGCAATAGAAGGATGAAGAAAAGATCCATGTTGGTTCACTCATCAACTCTCTAAATAAATTTTAAATAAAGTTCAGCAGAAATGTAGTGAATGGTCATCATATCTTTTGTCTCTTTAATAAATTTTAAATATTTTTTTGTGCAAAAAAATACAACACATGACAGAGCTGATGAACAAGGGTATTCTGTGCGAAGGCTACTGAAGTTACAAAAAATGGCATATTGGCATATGTACAAACCTTCTTCTTCAGTTTGAGTAATAAATCTGACCCTGTGGATTTTGCTTTCCATTCAGCTGGAGAAGGTATAAGCAGCATCTGCACATCTAAAGCATTTTGTCATGTCCAATATTTGCTGTCCTGCTGAATGTATTGGAAGCTGTCTAAGCTGTGAATGAGCTAT